GTCCTATTCTGTTCCTTATCTTCATTAATGTCATCAGTTCCTAAGTAGGCATTTATGCTGAAAACACTACTATTTACTCCTGCCTCAATAGCAAATCTGGTATCACTGACAAAACTAACTTAGCCGTTAGTCATGAAAAGAACCTCCAATCGGTTGTGTCCTGGGGCAGGAATTGGCTGGTTAACTTTAATGCCTCTAAAACAAAACTGCTCTCTTTTACTCACCACAGGGAACCATCCTTGCCTCCCATTAGAATGTCTGATGCTCTACTCCACGAGAGCACCTCTTTGCTTGGTCTCACTCTGTCCAGAGATGGAATAATTACATTGAATCAATTGCTTCATCTACTGTAAGGAAAGTTGGTTCCTGTGTCGTGCCAGAAAGTTTTTCTCACCGAGTCCATCCTTCAAATCTATAAATCAACAAGTCGCTGTTGAATGGAATACATGGTCTGGTGCCCCTGCTGTCCACCATAAGATCCTCGACAAAATCCAGGAACGAATATGCAATGTGATTGGTCCTGATCTGGCATCTCATCTTCAGTCTCTCTGATACAGGCATGCCATCGCCTCTGTCTTTTCTACAAATACTTTCATGGTAACTGCTCAGACGAGCTACTTTCGCTAGTTCCCAAACTGCATGAATTTAAGGGTGCTAATAGGTTGGCATCAGGGTCCCACTCTTTCATGGTTAGATGTGGCTGTCTCTTCTATTCCAATAGCTTCATGTCTTGTACCTCATGTCTGTGGAATTCCTTTCCTATTACTTGTTTCTCCTTTTTGAGAAATTAAAAGGTCAAATTGTAAGGTCATAGTCAAATTATCTTATCTGACCTTTAAATAAAAAAATTAATATATCACATTTTAAATCTATCCAAGTACTTTAAAATGGCATATAATTTAGTTTTGTGGGTGAAAGAACAACTGAGATACTGGTAATTAAACTTTGTGACTATTTTCCAAAAGTCACCTTTTTGGCAAAGGTCAAAGGATTATATCTCAAGAACTCTTTGATCTAGAGATATAAAATAGGTACCATTTAATTTCTATCATGAAGATCTATAAGTGTATCATATTAGAAAAAATTTGTACCGATGGTGGTCAGATTCTTGTTGATTTGATATGGAACGACTCAGAGATATCAAAATTGGAAGAGGAGCTGAATGCTAAACAAAATGGTCAAAATATTAACATCATTGTGTTCTGTGCCATGTGCAACAAAAGCCATGAGTAGTAAGGGTAGCTATAATGTGTAGTCTTTTTGTGAAAATGTAGTTCTGTTCTACTTAAAATGTGCAGCAGTCAAGAATTTTTGAGACATTCACAAATCATGAGCAGTCAAGATAGTTAAAATGTGTAGCAGTAAGAATTAAAGTGTGTAATTCAAAATTTCCAAGTGCAGTAGAACTCCAAACTGTATAGAATGCTACACAAAATGTGTAATATGACCAGGTCTTCATTCAGTTGTGTTTTGACCTTCAACAATTTCAAGTGATCCATATAACAAATTATTGGAATCAGTTGTAGCTTTTCTTTAAACATACCATCTGTCAAACTATTAAAAGATGGCACACAAAGTTTGTGTTTTTGAATTTGATGACTATTCACTTTGTGTGTGTATACGCACCAGTTTCAGTTTTATAGCCTTAAGTAATTTTCCTGACTACATGGTAGAATAATGAAATGCTCAAAAAAGGTAAGAGAGTGTGTTCCCATTTTTTTTTTTTTCACTAAATACAGACAGAATGATTCTTGTTAATCAGACATGAATACCCAAGTTACTCCAGGTGTTAAGATTTTTTTTAAGTCAATCAAGTTAAAAAAGAAATTACTATTGATTAATATTACAAGTCAATTATCATGGGAACAAGTCAGATGTGATAAACTACCTTTTTCTGTCTAAAATATTCTGTTAATCAGTACAAGATAAGGAAAAAAAAAAAAAACTGTCATTAAAAGATAAAATAAGTGATAATTGTATTGATTTACATCAGGTTGATCATTTTCTCTTCATTCCTGTTGTAGCAGAGTTAATTGACTGGAAATAACAATTGTAGTCATCCTCATAGAAAACAATCAGCATTTACCGTGTTTGTGCTTCACAGGGAGCGGAAAAAAATAAAATACTTCATTCATTGAAACCAGAGTTGTGACTAAATTAAAGTATATTTCCTTAAAATAATTCATTAAACATATTTTTTGTCTGTTATCACATAACACATGGATGGCTAGTTATAGCCACCAAATATTTTGTGATTATTAATGGGACACTACAGCTGGTTTATTTTTGAAAATTACAAAACTAAATTTTTAATGAGGGTTCGATTTACAATATAAGTATGATGAAAAACTAAATACTGTGTCCGTCAAGTTAGTTGAAAAAAAGAAAAAAAAAAAAAAAGTGTCATGTCATTTTGTAGTACGAGTGATGAACAACCAGGGGCCATAAATGTTAACTTCTTATAAATCTGCTCAAAAAACACAGTTCAGTATTGTGACTGGTGCTTATTGATGCAACAAAAATCTAGTGTGAAAAATGGCTACATGTAATCTGTTGTGAAATCTATCCTCAAATACTGAAATAGAATATAATCCAAGAGTTGGTGATTTTCAAATAAGGTATCACATTCAAATCCATGGTTTCTTATTGGAATGAAAGAACCTTATACATGCCTTTTACTGGAAGGAGTTTAAAATCCTGCCTGCAGGACAGTTCCATCTAATAATAATAATAAATGATGAAAAACAAATTAATGTCAATGCTACTATCTTGTTGCACTAAAAAAAGAAAAAAATAGTTGCAAGTTGGTATGAAAATCTGTGAAGTTGGACCCTTTTTTTAATTATTTCACCCCCAAGCAAAGCAATAAAGCTAAGATGCAAGGGGTTATTGAATATGAAAGAATATAAGAAAAAGAAAACACGATGAAGGAGAGAGAACAATAAAAGAACAAGAATTTAGACAAAAGATAATGCATTTAAATTTTTCATGATCAAAGTTGACTTGAAAGCAAGAGGCCAGAAGAGAGTTCCATAAGCAAAAAGTGCAAGAGAAAAACTGTTACATTAGAACTTAGTTACATGTAGCCATTTCAACTATAAAATGAGACCTAGATGTCAATCTAATAATGCACTTAAATTCGTAAATTTTAGGTAGCAAAGAGGAAATCTCATCAGAACAATTGTGAAAATATTTGTTGAAAAGGCATGGGAGAAGCTAAGTTACAGTAGTACATCACCTCACCATTGATGGTGAATAGCTACCTCCTCTTAAATCTATTTACACGATTGACTCGTTACAATTTTACTCTTTTGCCATAATTAAAAGGATATCAATCCAATTTAAGATTAGAAGTAATTTGTAGCCATTCATCTTGAGAAAATACCTAAATGAATAGAAATCTAACAAATATTAAGATATTCGTAAAAAAATCTTGTAAAGGACTTGATAATTTGCTATAATTTTTAGAAATGTAGTTTTTCACTAGAAAAAAACAGTGTAGAAAATGCAGCACTTTGTAATTATCTACTACTTAAAGAAAACTGCTAGAAATTCTTCAATAGAAATGTAAACAAAAAAAATAAAATACACAAAGCTTTCAGAATGTAAAATATGATCATTATAGATGTTATTATAGATATAGTTTCAACTAAGTAGTTTATAGCCATCTTCAGGTGTTCATTATTTTGGCCAATATAGGATATCTTACGTGTTGTTATTTTATACAAAATAACACAGAAGTTATCCCACATAAGATGTTGCATAGCAGCCAAAATAATGGACACCTGAAGATAGCCTCAGGGTACATGACTGAAATGTTGTGCTTATAATAACATCTATAATGATCAAGATGGGAGAGCATGATATCTCAAACAATGGGAAAAATCCTATGTGACACGTTTTTCCCCCTCTTCAAAAGGACTTTTTCACACCATGAGATCATATGTAGGGAAAAGGAATAAAATACAAACACTCCTCCATTATAATTATACATTGAGAGAAACACTGAAAATATATCAATAATAATCACAATGAAAACAATAGCTCATGAAAATAATATGTAGAATCAATCAAATATGTCAAAGTATATTGACAATTCCTCATCTCTTTAAAAACTTAAAATCAAACCATCCTTTGCTGCAAACGGATTCTGAGTTCTACATTAACAAGTACAACATATATGCTGTATTTTAATTTCCCAACAAATACAATTTTTTCACAAGATATATATATATATATATATATATATATATTACACACACATTAGTACAGGCAATAGATCCGTTGGTGGATCCTAGTAATATCGGACATTAAAACTGATCCACAGAGAGAGCTCAATTATAAAAGAGCATATATTTTATACAGCAAAAAAATCCAAAATTACCTCATGATTGTCTTGGAATTGGGGTTTTGAATTAAGTTTAGATAGCAGTTCTCCCCGACTGCTATCTAAACTAAATTCAAAACCCCTATTCAGAGATGGTCTAGAACTTAAGGGGACTGGCATGTGGTTGTGCTAGTCTGAAATAGACTATAACCACATGAGGTAATTTGGGATTTTTTGCTACATATATATATGACATTATTTTTAGTGGAAACCCATATTTGAGTAGATGCTCCGTTTTTATTCTTAAACTATATTTATTATCATCTACTTGCCAGACTATTCGAGAAATGTTATTTAAAAGAAAAGGGAGCATATTTTTCTTAAACAAGATTTCTTGAATATTCCGGTCGGTAGATGGTAACAAATATACAATTTAAAAATAAAAACAGAGCATCTACTCAAATATGGGTATCCACTAAAAATAACATGTAAGTGATAAAACATATATTTAAATAAGATAATCACAAGCAAACCTTTCACAAAATTTAAAATAAATGAAAAAAATGTTTAGGTATTTTTCAAAAGGAACATCAAAGAGATAGTTAACTTCGTAAAGTCTAAATTGCTTCCATGACATTTGAATGTTTTATAAAATTTAAAATGCATAAAAATGTTATTTTTCTATGACAAATGAAAGGTAGATTTTTTCATACCTTAGGAAATCTGCCAACATACATTCAACTTCTGGGTGGGCACGCAGATATTTTTCGTTTTGATGCCGGGTTTGTATCTAGAAAAGAACGTGAAGTAAAAATGCTTTTTAAATTCAGTACTTTATTCTGATTGATGTAGGAATTTGTTATATTCTATCACTCAAGTTTCACACTTCTTTTCTTGTCAATATTTGATCCCATTCCTCACTAAAAGAAAGTGTTCATATTATCTGTGGTCATCTATCATGAGAGAAAAATCTTTATCAGCAAAATGTAGAAAACCTCATTTACCTTCTCCACTTTAGTTAGGGTAACAGATTTTACAAACCAGTGATTAAAACTGGGAGTTAAGAAACTAATGTTGATTAAAAAACAAATCTCATGGTATATTCAGAATATAACCACATGAGGTAATCAAAAGTTCAGAATATTAGGAACAAAAACAGTTCCTATACAATCTTACTTATTATAAAACGCAGAGTGTGTGTGTGTGTGTGTCTGTAACGTTTATATATTGGATCGGATTTCCTACATTTTTCAACCGATTTCAACAAATCTTCACAGGACTACATAAAATTACCTTGTGGTGGTTCTAACAGCGCCAAAAATGGGAAAAATACAATTGTTTTTGCACAAAATCAATTTGAAAACATGATTAAGAGACATTGTGAGAATGGAAGGGGGACAACTCATATCGGGTTATCGAATTTCCTACATTTTTCAACCGATAAAACAAAAATTCACTTTTTTTATATATATATATATATATATATATATATATATATATATATATATATATATATATATATATATATACAAAGGAAATTTTTTTACTGTATTCAATAAGTAAAAATCATAAATTGTAAAACTAAAAGATTACAGAAAGGCTACCTACATTTTTCATCAGATTTCAACAAAACTTCACTTTTTTTTGGCATATAGTATTTCTTATTGTCTTGCACACTTTTTTCTTTATTTTTACATTCAGAATGCTTTAAAAATTTCATTTACAAGACAATTGTTTATAATAAAATTCTATTCAATCGGTAGACTCATAACGATTGAAAACAATGTTTTTGTTTGGGTTTGACCAATTCGTAAAAACAAAAAAAAAATCTAATTAAGATATGCATGTCTGTCAACCTTAAACAATAATCTTTGTCAATTTTATTTTTCAGTCTATATGATGGTGGATACTTGATCTATCGCTTACTGTTATATCCCCAGGCAACGCCGGGCTCTACTGCTAGTTGTCAATAAATGCCATGAAAAAAGAATAGACAACAATTTCTTTGTTTTAATTGCAGAGAGCAAAAGAAAAATTGAAAAGAAAAAACCTGCAAACAAAATAAATGGCATTTACTTTGAGAATTAATTGATAATATTTACTATGCTGGAAGTGAAAATTGTTGCCGTAGAATAATCTCCCTTTGCAGCTGTAGGCGACATGGTTGCTATAAATAAATACTTAGCTGTTATTTCCAGTATTTTAAGCTAGAAATTGCCTACTACTGAACGAAGCTAAACTTCTGTTTTCTAAGGCCATTTTGAATTCTTCTAGATTCTATATGAATGGTAACATTGATTAAACTCAGGTTAACTTTTTTGTGAACAAAAATGGCCACATCAACAGCAAAGGAAAACTTTATACAGGAGTTTTTCTTTGATTTAGACTCTGATGATGATTTTGAAGGCTTTACTCAGGTGGATATTGACAGTGAAGTGGTTGAAGATGATAACCATACTAGTGACATGGAGGAAAGCAATGATGAACACTAGATATTGAGCAGCTACTATCATCCATGGCTGACTAATTTTATAGAAGCTCCTGGCTCCATGGATGTACCTGATAACCTTTCTGAAGGTGAATTATTTTGTCTGTTTATAAACATTTAAATAACTTTATTTGTCAATAGGACAAATAAATAGACTAGTCAGATGAAAGAAAGACCAAATAAATGCTAGTGTCTTCTCATATGTAAACACGAGGAAGCATGTCACATTTTTGACAAAATGAAAGCCTTCTTAGCCATTTTGTTTCCACAAGGAGTAATAAAAGTTAAACTATGTTGAATTGTTAAATGCATTTTTTTTTTTTTATTTTGTTTCATTTTTTAGTTTTCAGTGTCAAAACATGCATGCAAAATGTAATGCATTACATCAAAATATTACTCATCCATTCTTTTATTAGTATGCAAAAAATAAAATCTATACACACAATACTAAGAAAGCTATAACAATTTTAAAACAGTAAGTGCTCATATTTTTTGCACCCTAAAAAAAAAAAAAAAAAATGCAGTGGCAGGAGAACAATTCTAGAATAAATTTAGCATACTAAAGGTTTAATATAACAGCCAGATGGGGTGGGACAGGACATTAAACAAAATCTAATACTCAAAAAAAAAAAAAAAAAAAATAATTAGGACTTCAAGAATAATAGATTTTCTTAATGAAGATTATGATAAAAAAACAGACTGATATCCAAGATGGGATCCATTCTTAGTTCAGTGGAGGAGAGTGTGGGAGCCCATGACCAGCTTTACTTTAAACAATACTCTGTCCACCTATCAACATACACTATGATGTCTACAGAGACTTTATTTGGCTGCAAAGCTTGAATTTATTATATAAAAAAAAAAAAAAACTTTTGGTAAAATTAAGAGTATGAAGATCTGTAAAGCAAAGAAAATTTGTTAAATTCTCTTTATTCACAATTAACAAAAATGTGAGACCTTATGGTCTCATGGTATTATCATTTTCAAAAATAACCTCTTGTAAATCCTTAAATGAACCTTGCTTCTTATTCTTACATGAGGAATTAGAAATTAAATTTACTGATAAAAATTCTCTATTAAACCAAAGTGTATTAACTGTAAATTGTAGACATAGCTTACCTTTCACCTTACAATATGGTTAAATTTTAAATTTGTTAGTTCTATTTCATATGGTCATAATCAGTAAGTAAACTGTGGTGAGCTTTCTATGAAGAATTATTTTGCATATTTGAATTTGATATAACTATGTATTGCTGTTTAGTCGGTGTTATAAACATCATCTATGAATATTACACATTTTTTATTTTTAAACACTTATGTTACATTTACTGTTTTCTTAAAGAAGCCTTTTTTTTTTTATTATCAACTATAAAATATATGTTACAATTAACTATACATTTGATTATCTTCCTACCCCTCCTCTTAGTTTCTTATAAAATTGAACAAGTTACATTTGTTTCGTAATTATGATACATGGTTGCTACTTGCTTATAGTTTGTATGAATTTCTTGTCTGCCACTCGTGACCTTGTCTAGGATTATATTTCAAACCACATTTCACCATGATCAAACCTCACACTTCTTCGGTTATTTTTTTAATTTAGCATAGGTCAGACACCTAATTGGCTAATCAGGGTAAATCCACAAGCCTCATTTTAATTTTGATTTGTTGTTGTTTGCTTTTGAAATTCAAAAATAATTTTTTACTCACCAATTATTTACCATTGCCTGAGAAACCACAACTGTAGTACTGAAACATGAAAGCTATTGTGTGGCGATTTTTAATAGGTTTTTGTTTTAATCTCATATAATGAATAATATTAAGCTCTATTCATTTTTGAGCCCTTTTTTAAAAATTAATTGTTACAGACAGTGGAATTATACTCCATATGTTCCTATCTCATACCTGGAGATAGGTGTGTCAAGCTTAGTGCTCCAAAATTTTGTATGACAAACACTAAATTACCTCCCTTTTATTTATTTTTAGTTAACCTCATATTCTGAGTCTTCTTGGAAAGTCATATCAGAAATGTAATACAATTTATTTTAACTATTTTTTTTTTATAAATAAAAACTGAAATTTGATTTAATCTTGATGAATAAAAGTGCATGGATATATTATATTATAGGAAGATATTTCAGCCCAAGAAGATCATAGAAGCAGGGAAATGTTTTGACATCAAGTAACATGAATTCTTTTATGCTATTTGAATTTCAGCTTTTAATATCTGTTTTTATTAAAAATAATTTATAACTTATGGTAGAGTGAGATTTTATCACCCAACATTTTTTTTTAAATTTCAGATATATAAGCATTGCTTTAAAGCTTGAGAGAAAAATATAATTTCAAAAGATAAACAAAATATTGTAAATTTATTGAGTGACAGGAACAACATTTGGAATAGAGAAAATTGACCATAGATCACATAATAATAATAAATAAAAAAAAAAAAATTGAAAATATTGACAAGAACAAGAAAAAAGCTTTTCTTTCTGAATTTCAGAGATGAGGAGTTATCAGTATTTACATTACTTATAGTCAGACCATTATTCTCAGTTTTGTTGCTATTATTACAACATTTCAGACATTTTTCCCCTCCAACCTTTTTCAGGTGTCTGTCAATCCAGGTAACTCCTTCAAGGAATTCTTGTGAAATTAAACAGAGAGAGAAAAAATTATGCAGAATATTAAGAAAATTGGCTAAAATCAAGAAAGCAACCAAACTACCATTTTTAAGCAAATATCAGTGAGAAATGTGTAAATCAGGCAAAGTAAAATATGAAAAATGATTGAAAACTTTCTAAGGAAATGAAGGAATTATATATATATATATATATATATATATATATATATATCTGACATAGAAGCCCTGCTGGCTACAGCTCTGTCCTGTCTCTCTGGTGGTTCTGGCCGAAAAGTAAACCACCTGGTCCTCCTCCGGTGAACTGAAGGAACCACCACTATGCGCAATGTTGTAAATTTTTGACCCAAACAGCAGTATTTTGATCCCTCAGAACAATCCGGAGGTAGGATGAATTAGATGGCTGGGCTCCACGCTGAAAGAAATCGCTATTTGTGCAGAAAGGTTCTTGTTGTAACAGCAAGGGCACAAAGAAAGAAAAAATAAAAGCAACACTTTCAGTTCCTGTACAAGAGCCCTTTAAGGCTACTGTTTTTATATCACTACCAACGAAACTGCACAAATACAAACTGTCTTAATGAGATTCACTCGTTTGGGTTGGAACGTCACAGAGAGAAAGAGACAATTACGCTGGTCGAAATTCGGCTGTACTAAGGGAAATGAGTCGTGGTTCTTCATCCGTCCCCTCCGATATAGCAGTCGGCTTTTCTCAGCTTTGTTGACAAAGTTATCAGGATTTGCACGGGTTCGATTTCTATCTCTGGTATGATTCAGACATTTGACGCATGCAACCAAATGGCCAGATCAGCAAGACCCACTAAGCCATTTCCGCCGCATTTTCCTTTGTGTTCTCTGATCTGCGATCTCTGATTTGTGGTCCCTCTCACTCTGCCGCATCTCTCACGTTCTGACACATTCTCCGATCACATTCAATCTCTGATCTGATCTGCTCAACCCAAGCGTGCAGGCCACTTATATAGAGAGAGGCAAAGCTAAACAGTTTTTAGGTATCACCCACGAATTTTAATATGCAAATCGCCTGGACCAACATGTGTTTTCCACTGGATCTCCGAAGCTCCGCAGGAACCCAGTTTTCAAGAGGTACTAAAGTCGGTTTCAGACTCCCTGCTGGGTTTTCCGCAGACAACGTTCACTTAAGCCTGGTGAAAAGCACTTATTTCGTCTGAGGGCTCTGGCTGGATTTCGCCTGGCAGACCACTCAAAATCCAATTCACCATTTATCACAAGCTTTACCTAACGAACCCGTCCATTAATTACTCTGGAATTAATTCACCTAGTTAATTAATAATTCAATCCCAGAAACAACTAAGCAAAAAGAAAAACTTATTTCTGGAATTACTCCAGAATCCCTTCTACCCAACTAATTAGTACCTTCTTCCCAATCCTTTAGAACTGTTGATTAATAAACCCACTGGGGGGGGGGGGGGGGCTCTCTGTTACAATATGAAGAACAATATGGCTAAAAAAGAAGAGAAATTTATTTTTACATGTACACAGATAGCTGAATAATAATAATAATAATAATAAAAACATTTATCTATTTAGCTGTAGAGTATGTACCCAATTATTGGATTGAAATTAATTAGTTGGCTGCATGAGGAGTATCCTCCTGGATAGGAAGTGTCCTGTAATATTGCTACTACATCATAGAACAAAAAGAGAGTGGGAGTGTTTACACACATTCCTTTTATAGTCCTGAAGAGAATACTACTTAGTGGCATTAAGGGACGTCCATGAAAGACAAGGCGGGTTAATCCTCATAAATCTCTGAGAAGCAATAAAAGCTACTGCAAGTAATGCTAAAATCCAAACAAGAGAAAAAGTAATAAAATCAATAAATGAATAATTGAAAACTGATGAAAGTTATAGAATGACAAGAAGCCTATGTAAATTAATAAAAGAAAAATTTATTTAGGTAAAAAAAAGATATAGTGTTAAATTAACATTTTTAATCAAATATGTTTTATGGCTTATATCTTTCAGGTATGTTTATAAATATTTTTTGTTTTTAATCATTTCACCTCATGCAAGGCAATAATGCTTACTAAAACACCAGGAGCTAATGAGAGTGAAAGAGAATGAGAAGAAAAGACAAAAAAAAAGAGGATTCAGGAAGAGAGAAAATGATGAGTGATGTTGCATTTAAATTCTTGAAGATTGTAGGTAGAAGGGAAGCAAAAAACTGTGAGAATAGAATTTAGTTATATCTCACTATTTTAACAGTAAGATGATGAAACCTAGTTGACAATCTAATGGTATGCTTGCAGTCAAGGTACCAAAGAGGAGAATTCATTACAACAATTGCAAAAAATATAGAAAAGACAGAAGGAAGCCATGTCACAGCAGTGGGAAAAAATGACTGAAACTGAGATGCCCAGTTAGGGACAATAACATTGCAAATTCTTCTTTGGATTTTATCAAAGAATCTCTAGATATATTACAGGGGCACCAGACCAGATATACCAGCAATATTCAATGCATGAATGAATAGTAGATTTATAAATCTGCAAGATGGATTCTGATGATTTTTGGTCTTTGTTTTACGGCATATCAATCTCAATGGATTATTTAATGCGAACAAAATTTTTATTGCTGGTAATATATTTTTCTTCAAAAATCTATTTCTGGGAATGTTTTTCCCTGAAGAAATCTATCATAGGTCATATTTTTTTCAAAGAATGTATAACTGTTTGTATTGCTTTTTTTTTTTCTTATTTTATTTTTATTTTTTTTTTTTTTTAAGTATTGCTAATAATAATTTTTCCTTTAAAAATTATTGCGGGTAATAATTTTTTTATTACAAAGTATTTCTGGTATTTAAAACCTATTACACAAGTTTGGGTGTTAACTATTTTCCCATAGCTGGGACCCGGACAGGTGCTACCATTCCGGGCCAGGGTGAACCGGGGAACACCAGCAATTAAGAGGTGGTTCTACGCTCCTCACAACCTCCTGATCAGAGGCCTTGCTGTTGGATGTAGTTTATCGTCATACCCAGGACGCGGATTCTGATGAAAAAAAAATTGTCTGCACAACACAGAGTGAACCAACAACGGAGTCAATAATCATTCCACTTTAACAAATCAGTGGAAAATATGAGACCAAAAAGGTGCAACTCGCATAATCAAATATGACAGTGTAGGATAGGAATAATTTTTTTAACTAGTGCCATTTTGGATTCATAGCTGTTTTTTGTTTTCGTGTTACTGTTCAGAAAGTTGTCTACATAACACTGAATTACCTCGCGAGGGCTCAGAATATGAATCTAGTTAAAAATTAAGTAGAGTATAAGGGAGGTAAATTAATAACATTGGATATCCAGACATCGTTAAACAAACAACATTGTGAAAAATTAATACTGTCAAAAAATAATTTTTTTAAAGATGATTCTGTTAACCAACGTTTTATTCATTTATCTCCGCCTCAGGATTGTGTTGACGCTTTTAATTAGCAAATATACAAATTTGTAACAGTAGAGAGAAAAAGTTTTAAAAAGAAAAAAAAGCAAAAAAAAACCCTTATTTAAAAATTAAAATTAGTTGCTCAGTTAAAAAAAAAAGGCATTTTAAAAAATATATATTTTTGCACTTAAATTTTACTTGCTACAGTGAAAGAAAGCATTTTTTTCAATTTTATTTTCTCTTCTTCCACTCTATATCGGACTTTGTTTTTCGAGAAAACAAAAACAATCAAATTTTTAAAAACTTTGAAGAAATGAAAAATTTAAACCACAAAAAGCAAATGGAATTTTCTTCCTAAAAAATAGATTCATATTTTTACGTAGAATAAAATAAAACTATAAACAGAATTCACGCGAAAATGTTGCTATGCTCAGAACCAGCCAGTTCTTTTTTTTCTTTTCATTTAGCTACTTTAAAAACATTTTCCTTCTATCGAGAAAATAATATCAATTTTTAAGAACTGATGCGCCATTTCAAATAAAATAAAAAAATTTAAAATTCATCATATTTTTATACTCATTCATTCATTCATTCATTTACATTTACAAACTAAAAGAAAACAATCAAATTTGACGAATTAATTTAAAAATTATATATTTACAAAAATTAACTTTTACGCAAGAGACCAGTAGTTTTATAATTTAGGATTTCTATCCAGACTAAAATGTAAATATTAGGTTTCAATTTTTGTCATTAAATAAATAATAAAAAAGTTATCTCAGATAATTAATTTTTATTTTTTACTCTTTTTCCATAGTGCTTAGCAACAGAATAAGTTTTTCTTTGATAGAATCATAAAAATTATATAAATACATTATCTTACTGTGTATTTACCTTAAACGCATTGAGTTTTTCTTGCTGCTCGTCGCTGAGAGCTCCCAAATCTGAGCCCGTTTTCAAGTCATATTTCTCCATGCCATGAGGCTCGCTGTGTTTTGGTTTAGACGCCATTTTGAGCTTCTAATAAATATTTACCTTGACAATCACAAAACAACGGAGTCAGGCGAATATTAACACAACAAAGTTTCGTATTCGTAGCCAATTATGCACTGAATTTATTTATTAATTTATAAAAGATTTATAACTTTCAAATTATAAGTTAACATAGTTATGCTTATTAGTCATACTCTTGTTCGTTTTGATTTATATATGTGTCCAGAGAGTTACACACAACGCTTCCTTATTAAATTGAAAAATGTGACTACGAGTTTTCAATGTTCATTTTGATTTTTGAACTTATAAAAATTGAGAATTCGACACACTACACATAAGGGAGGAGGTGCAGAGGTGAGCAGTAACGTATTTTTAACAATTCTATATTGATGACAGAAGAGAAACTGATACAGAAACAAACATAGAAAGTTATATAGAGTCATGATGGTCCACGTCCTGAAAGGACATGGTACATAATAGTAGAAAAGTCGTGCCCAGGATTTCTATCTTAAACTATATTCAACTCTCACTTAAAGTCTGCCAAAAGATAATGGTTTTACTGCCATAATTACCCTGCCACCTAGAGAGCCATTCATGGTTTTATATTGCTGTAATGGTAATATTAGCCATTTCCTTATAAGGAAATATTTGGCATTCATTGATTAAGAAGCTTTACTACTGTTGGTTGGAATTTATAAAATCTTAGTCTTAAAACAATTTTTCAGAAAAATGGGTTTCTCAAGTCTGTGGAGCCAGTCTACCCAAATTTTATGTGGAAAAATAAAATCTGAGTGTTGTGTCCACAAATACAACACAGTTTTTTATACAACACAAAGAAATTGTAGGAGTTAGCTCCTCCTTAATTCCCAAATTGTCACTAGAGTTCATTCTCCTTATACTATAGATACTGGGCAACTTCTCGCCTTGTTGTCTTTTTCATTTCTTCATTTCAGCGACTACAATGTAAGCTCTCTTAGAAGATCCACATCTTCCCACTTGTGGGAGACGCCATGAACCTTTATATATACATACACATATGTATGAACATTCACCAAAGAACAGACACCAATGTTTACACACACACAAATGTTATTGTCCATTGTAAAATTGTTTTGTTTAATACATATATTTGTTTATATGTATATATATATCGGTCTTGTTTGTCTTCTTTACATCTTCAGTTGGACTTAACTTGAGTCTGGCAATTTTCTTGTAGTTGGACCTTTTAATATTCTACCAGGAGTTACACACATGTTTCTAATACAACACGCAAACACACACGGTCCTCTACAAATTATCTTTACAGAAAAAGAAGATCAAGCTAAACATGACAATAACATATATACAGTCAGATACATGTATTTACATATTGAAAATCAATGTTCTTTGTTGTTGCCATGAAGAGACCAACAGCTTGATTGTTTAAAATGATTTGCCACAAGTGAGTCTGCAAAGTTTCAAAGTGTTTTTGTTGTAAGTGAAGAAATCAAGTGGCATAGTATGTTGAAATGTGTGTTTGTGTGTGAAGCACACATTAAAGAAACATGTGTGACTGCTGATCGATTGCATGTGATAGCAGTAATTTTAAATATGATGAACAAAAAGAGAGAAGAGACAGGACATAGTTCTATCACAGTTTTCTATGTTTTTCAGGGTAGAAAAGTTATCACTGACTGATGCATTGTCATGGAAACATGTATCTATGTTGTTGATTGAGGCAAGGTCTGGTTCACTGACTGTCTTTTGCAGATCTAGTCGCTGACTGTTTTTTTCTTACTGACTGCCAATGTCTGTTTCTGGTGAGCCATTTTTTATCACTGTGGGTCAGCTCTGAATCACTATCTGAGTTTTGCATGGGAATGTACTCAGTAACCTGAGCCCTAAACTTTTTCAGGTCATTTGAAGTTCAACTGCATAGACATCATAGAAAGCACATCATGTGACTTGTCTTATTCAATCAGGTTCTAGAAACCACTTATTTAATTTGGAGCCGTGTTTGTACAGAATTGTAAAAAAAAACTTTTTTTCATATCTATTAAGTTTAGTGAGATTTATTTGTAGGCATCTCTTACTTGTTTGTGCTTCACTTATTGGCCGTAAATTATAGGAGTTTATATCCTATAAGTTCAGTAGCTCTTATCATTATTTCCAGTATTGATGGTGCGGGGGGTGGGGGGTCTCTTTATTTGAAGTAATGTGAAATATCTTGATTATATCATTATTTTCCCTTTAAGTTACATGTGATATGTATTTTAAATTTTGCTACTGTTGAAAGTCCTCAAGTAATGTGGTTTTCGTCATTTGGTATCGTTCTTTGTTTATGATTCTGTAGCACCAGTTCATAATGTTCAGAGAAGAATGCTCATTGACAACATCCACAGTCTTCATTCACTCAAAGCCATTTTTAACCAAAGCCATACGTTTTTTCACAACCAAACTTTTATATTCCATTTTATGGGATAAATATTTCATAAAATTTAGACCTTTGAATTTTTAGTCATTCTGAAGGGTGAGATATGGAAGAAATGAATATTCTCCCAGTTTGTATTTTCTCCCATTATAGGCATTATTATATTCATGATATAATAACTCCTTGTATCCTGGATGGAAAGGAATGGCTGAAAGGAAAAGGAACAAAAGCATGCTTTGTTCTCAGAGAGATTTTTATATGTTTAAATCATAAACAAAATTATATATACGTATTTCCACATAGAGAAACTATAATATGTATGTAACAACAAGCAGTGTGAAAAGAGAACAAAAAGCAAGTCTTACATATAATAATTTTCAATGGGAACTGGAGCTGCTGGAGATTCTTCTGTGTTTCTGGAGAAGTTATATTTAGGATTCTAGATTCAAGTGAGCCAGATTTATCTGTTATGTAACTATTGAGGACATATTCTGCAAATGAAATTGAAGAATGTAAGCTTTAGGTATCTGGTGAAGATATATTCCCACAGGAAAACGGCACCATAGGTCTGTCCTAAAAGAAGCAACAGCTTGATTTGACTCCTGGAAGCTGACTGACTAACCACTTTTGTCACATTATGAAATGACATCACTAAGTGGCCATCATGTGACCCACATGAATTCACCTTGACCAAAGTGAGATAATCACCTTTTATATACCTACAATTTTATGTTGTTTTGTTAAAATCATTTTAATAGTACAGATACTTCTGTGATAGACAGCCATACCATTTCAGCTCCAAAAGGCTACAAAAACAGATGCTAGAATCCCAAATTCAAATAATAAAAAAGTAAAATTCACATAAATTTACTATATTATCCAATTAAGCAATTCTGATCCACTTTTTTTTTTTATATAAAAAGAAAGAATTTCATGTGTTGGCAGACACAACTTTCACTGTCATAGTGAAAGGCCGTCAGTTTTACACTCTACTGTTTCCTACTTCTAGCCTCTGTATCACTCTTGAGATTGTCTATTCTACACACAAATAGTACACTTTTCAATATGTTTTCATTGAAAGACAGAAGAGTCCTTTTCACTCCCTGTGGAGTATTGGACCACAGCCTCACTACACCATTGTTGCTACTGCAAAGTCATAACAAGTAGACTTTTTTTTAAAGGTGGAGTTGCTAGTACAGTTGCTAGCCTAACCAGTTTTGAATTCAGAATTATCCTTCTATTAGACTGGTTGCCAACCAAGGTTAAAGAGCCCAGTCTACACTGCTATTTAAACAATAACTAGGAAGAGAGAAGCGATTCATATCTTTCCAAAAAGTATTTATGTAAAAGTGAATGCAATGAATTTGTCCAGAATTTGAACTTGGCATGTAAACCCCATTTTCCATTCCAAAAAACCACTATGCTGCTCATATATATTTCATTGCCAACAAAGACAATTATTCTTACCTTACTTGCTTTACATGGTAAACACTTTTCTACCTTTTTTTTTCTAACTATTTCATCTCAAGCACGATGCAAGGTGTTACTGAGAATGAGAGTATATAAGAAAAAAATTATTAAGGAGAGAGAACAATAAAAGAACAGGAATTAAAAAGACAGAAGATGATGATTAACATTGGATTTTAATCTTTGAAGATCAAAGTTGACTGGGAAGCCAGAAGAGAGTTTCACAAATGAAAAGTGCAAGATACAAACTGCGTCTGCTTCTAAATGCTTTCCATATAATTTACAGTAATATGTACATTGTGTATATAAAAAACACCCTTTTCTTATTTCCTTAAAATGGGTATGACATTCTCTTTGTACTTTCTTGACTTTCCACCACTTTCTGTCTCTTGTTGACCTTTGTTTATGCTTTGCCATTCATCTCTAAAGATGCTGAAAAATAACCTAAATAGTGTGTGAAGGAGAGATGTATCTAATGAACTTGTGTTATGTTTAGTTAGACTCCAAAGACTGAACCTGTATAGCTAGAAGATCTAGATAAAAATGAAGACTTAAACATATTTTAAAAACTGTTAAATATGATAGATTCAGTATATGAGGATGACAATAATAAAAATTTATGTTATCAAATGTCTGACCCCTGTCAAGGTTGACAATAGTTGCAACAGCTTTTTACTGTTACTGCCAGGGCAGTAAAGTAGTCATGGGAGATTGGTTTGGCAAATTCTTCATTTAATGACTCTTCATTGTCACCCATCATGCCATACAAGTTTACAACATTTAGCAATGTATTACAATCAAAGAGAGTCATGGAATAAAATTGCAAACAATATTTGACATATAAAAGAAATATTTTATTGCCTTAGCAAACTAAATAGGAAGGATATAAAAAGAGATGAATAGAAGTGTGTATACTGAGGTACCCTTATTTGTACATATAGTGTGTATAGTGTTAAAGCTTATATTTGAGGAGGATTCCTTGATGGGTTGATCACCTTAGGGCAGTGATTCCCAAATGATACAGTGCACCTCATAGGTGCATCAGAAGAGAACAGCAGGTGAGGCAGAATGTTTGAAAGACAATCAAAGATTTAGAAATAGTTTCAAAACATTCATAT